GAGTTACCTGTAACCGTGCGGCTGAGCTCCTTCCGCAAGACGGACGCGGCTGCTGGGCGACTCACCTGCGGGCTACCCTGCTGTCACAGTATTGATGTAAGCGGTAAAACGTTCCTCCCAGGGAGGAAGCCAAAGCCTCAGCAACAACAACGCCCCAACAACAAAAAACAAACCCCAACCCAAAAAGCCATATATATGTACATGAAAAACTTCAGAGTTCTTTGAATATTGTTCCATCTTTGAAATGTCTTACTCCCGTCCTGTGTCATGTTTAAGCTATTTTCTTGAAATGGCCAGAAACTTCAAACTCCAGTTCATCTATACGATTTCCTACCTGACTGGTTACTTGACTACTGCTGACCAGAAAAAGGGCCCAGATCTCACATACACAGTTGTTCATTCTCCTGATAACTCGGAACAGGGTGTTTTTCTCTGGTTAACATTAAGGTTTGAAAACTAGAAAAAAGCGCCTTTGCCTCTGTGTCATAATGACAAAACACTTGCCAACCACAACTGCTCCAAAAATTTATCGAAATTCCTATGGCTGGAAACACTGTTCTGGTATCCCCCCCTCCTTAGCTGCATTTCCACCATCAAAACCCCAAGGTGTATTTGTGCCTTGCAGCAAACACCTTTCCGAAGCCGGCCTTCATCCCCACGTTTCTCTTACCTTAACTGCTCTTGCTGGTTATAGTTCAGCTTTGCCTGGCAGGAATGTGCAACGTTTTGTGCTGATCCTCTGCCTAAACTGTATTTAGCTCTAGCCACGTCTTCATTTCTTTTCCCTTTTCCTGTGCCTCCCTCGTTTATATACCTTTTCATAACCTCTGCCTTGTATTATTCAGGAGGTCAGCTTATCACATTGGTCCCTGCTGGCCTTAAAATCTATGAATCTTGTGTTGCATTGTCTGCCTTCCAGCTGCTTATTTTCCTCTCATTCTTTTGTTTTGTGCCTCACTTTCCTCCTCACTGGTATTAAGTCTTCCCATTGATTTTTTTAACTCTACCTTGGCAACAAACAAATAAATAAACCCGTGGAAATACAGATCTGAATTTGTGGCTTTTGTTCACTGCATCATCTCTTCCCCCTCTTATTTCCCATCTGAATATTAACAGCAGGCAGAATGCCATGGGTTTTGTATTCTTTGCATTTTATGTCCTTTTAACTTTAGCCTGCACCACACAAAATATGTGCTAACTCACCACCTAGGAGTGGAGAAGGGGTTTACTAAATGAAAGAACTGAATCATGAAAGGAGCAGCAGGGGCTGGGAGGACTAACCGTTGCTGTGTGCTGCTTCTGAGCGGAAGCTTTATTGCTCTGCTGTCATTAGGATCACTCATAGCTGCCTGTCTTCGAGCTGTGATAGCAGCTTACATTTTTATGCGGAAGTACACTTAGAAAGCATAAACAGAGAAAACAAAACACCCTGTTCTTGACGGTATAACTTTTTGCCATCTCTTAATGCATCTACATATTACCAAAAAGATTCCAGTAGGGATAACAGGGAAAATTCACAGTTGTAAGAGGATTTGGGAAGTGGAATCCTGTATCTGTTAAGTTATATTAGAATGTATGTTGTCAAGCTAATACCTTTCTCACAATGCTTATATACAGTATGAATACTGAAAAAAAACCCTGGTAGCTTATTTTTACATATAGTGTCAGTAAGAGGCACTGGTTTTCATGTAACACTTTGCATTTCTACCTCTTTGCCCAGCTTGAATCAATCAGATTTTTTGTCACTGTACCTTACGATTGCCTTAGGTCATCTAATCATGTTAATACGATGGACTAAAAGCATTACTGTCAAATCCTCCCAGTTTTTATACTTTATTAGACAACTTGTAACAAAGAAAAAATGTCAAATAAACATGTAATTCAGTAGTCATTTTAACAGTCAGAGGTCTTTCACTTTTCAGTGGAACTGTAGTATCTGAATGAACATTTCCTTTAAACCGATATGCCTTCAGGTTTGTTTTGCTGCTGCAGCTGTGAGACCACTCCATGTTCTTTCTGTGTGGAAAGTGACCTTTATGAAATACCTGTCACTCAGTAGCCTTGTAACTTTTTTTGGCTTCCAGGCAGTCTGCATTTCCTTATCCTTACAGCCAATCGGGCTATAATTGCTCATGCATCCTAGGGCACAGTATTAGCTCTCTGCACATCAGACCCACTCTCTCTTCCCTAAACCACCTTCTGTTTAATCAAATCTCTGCAGAACGGCTCTTCGCACTCCAAATAGCTAGCTGAGGTTGTTATGTATTGACAGGAGATATTTCTCATCCCATTCACTGGAGTTAGGAGTAGCAGGTGCTATTATTTCATCTCTTCTTATAATCCAGAGAACGAAAGAGCAAGAATGCCATTTGAATGCAGATAACTCTCATGACAGTCCAATGTGCTATAAATATGCTACCGAGGCAGATTCACACATTGTAAACTTAAAACAAACAGAAATCCTCCAGAGATCGGAGTGAATATCTAAGATGCTGTTAGGTGGGTAAAACTGCGTTCCACAAACAGGCTAACTGCATTTCCTGCCATATGCCACCACATTTTCTGCTTATCAGAAAGACTTGGCTGGAACATGAATGGAATTTCCCTGAGCACTTCCAACAGCCAAGATTCCTCTTTTAACCTCTCCCAGCAACCACCCCCTTCTCCAATGACTGTATATACCCATGCCACGTTAAGCAAAGCTGCTGGTGATTTTCAAAGCCGCTCATCTTGATTTCTCACCTCACCCAACAGCTTGTGTTATTACACAAACGTGGGCAGCCATTTCTGATAGCACATGCTCAGGCAGAGCAGTTCCAGGTTTAGATGTAGGAAGTGACTATTGGTGCTGACACCTATCTGGTTCTGTCCAGCACCATCAAGCGTGGGCAGCCACTGAAATCAGTGGAATTTCGTACAAAGTTATCAACCTGGAATATAATTCACAATGAGTACCAGTGTGTAACAGTCCTCGTCTACTTTGCCACTTCTTAATCTTACAGTGCAAAATTCAGTATTGACAGTTATCCTTACCTGCTACGAAGTACACCCCTGCTCCTTGTTCACCCAAACAAACTTTCAGTCCATTCCAAGTGCTGGGCAAATCATTTATCAAAATGACAGTAACAAAGCACCTAGTTCTAAAAGCTCAAATGTTTACTTTTAAGTGATGATGAAGAAAAAAATGTTAGCACTCAAGAGGTCTTCAGAATCCAAAATCTTTACATCCTTTGTAGAAACTCCAGTGCTTTTCCATTACAGGGCATGGTAGAAACTCCTCTTTACATACCATTACTATCTCACGGAACTGAAGAAACTGTGTCAGACTTTCCACTGAGTTGAACTGGACAGAAGAGCCTGTTGAAAATGAATGCGAATGATCACAGAGTGCACATTACAGCAATGGAAAGCAAATGCTGGCACTAACATCTAAAGAGGTGTTAACAGTTTGTAACAACCACGTAAGGCTGTCTGATCCCTAGGACTCTGTAATATGTCCTAGGAATCCTGTAGTGTAAGACCCCGTCCATCCTACCATTATCTTTCACTTGCACACAGACTTCAGTAAGACAAGGGCCGTACTACACTCTGTGGTGCTTAGGGTGAGAAGTCAACCCTGCTGGCCCTTTCCAGTTAGGTAACATGAACATGCAGTTGTCCTTCAGCATTGCTTGAATTTCACATATTATATCCACAAAGGGTTAAGTTCAGTGTATTTCCCCCAAATTAAGGAATCCTTCTCACAGGGAATGCCCCTCCTACAGTCCTGAAAGGACTACATAAAAAGAAAGGTGTCCACCTGTATACAAGAAATCGCAGGACTGACAACAGGTATTCACAGTATTAAAATATCTGCTGTACCGAAGCAACTATTGCAATGCATAAACTTAAGGCACTTGAATCAGCGCAAGAGAACTTAGAATACGCACTGTTAAAATCAGCAACAAAGTATCACCAGTAAAGATCCAGAAGTAAGAAATGTTACAAGACATTTTCTCCATAACAGCACAGACTCCAAAAGGCACTTGGAACTGTAGTTTTCAGAGCCATTTGCTTTCGTTCATCTTTCATCCACACTTTGTACCTTCAGTACCCTTACACAAAATACCACAGCTGCTGAGCTGCCACAACCAGCCCAACACAGTGAGAAACTGCCAGTGAGGGCAGAACTGCCATATATAGCAGATGTTATCGAGAGAGGGAGGGCTATCATAAAAGTAGGGATGGACTCTGTTTTTTTTTTTTACAAAAAAAAAAAAAAAACAAAACAACAACAAAAACCAGTGTTTGGACATCATTCAAGTGTCTCGAGAAGCAAAATAGGATAGGCATTTCAGGATGATTAGATCAGTCAAGATAAATCTTTGTCAAAACGCAGAGAAAAAATGCTTGAAGTGACACCAGTTGGTCATTTAGCTTGTATTGATTTCTGGGCTGCCAAGTGCCATCCCAAGAGTTTGTGTTACCACAGTTCTCCAGTTGTGTCACCTACACTGATTCCAACACGCAGAATATATTCACGGAACCGACAACATCGATAACTCCCAATGCTAAAACAATTGGTGTATCTTGTAGATATTAGACCTTTTAATTCTGTGTCTTGGTGAGGATTTCCCTGTCATTTCCTGATTTCCAGGAGCTCACCACCCAAAGTACTGAAGTGGCAAATTGCTATTAGAAACAAGAGGTCCATGTTCAGAAACACAAATACAGAGTCTTGTGTGTGCGGATGTATGTTGTTCTACAGCCACGACATCCACAGCAAAACTTCCGACTCCAGCGAGAACAGGATTGCATTCGGTGTCTTACACCCTCAGTGCATCTTCAGAATACCACAGCACAGTGCGTAATGGAACAAAAAGCACGGTCTGATGTCTAGGGTATATTTAAGTATCTTGGGCCACGACAAAGGTGGGCAAGCTGAACCTAAGTCCCACCGAGAAGTTCCACACAATGCTCCTCACGCAGTCTTTTATTGCTTATGAAGCGCTGGTCAGTCACACCAGAATTCAACTTACACACTCACCTAGAAGTGATGTTTCGAAAGACATAAACAGGAATGCTTGGATGGGAAGTCACAAAAGAGTTTTAAGGACACCTTCAGGTAAAAATAATTTTAAAAGTAAGTCTGGGAACTTTTTTATAAAATAAACTTGCAGAAACTGAGCTGAAACATTAATACTGGGTCTGCACTGACATGGCAGGCATGACTTCAACCTGGTTTGATTTGTTGAAATAAGCTTTTTGTACTGAAATGTCCACATTTCCTATGTAAGTACAGGAAAATTTCTTGGCAAAGTCTGAAGTTCATTTAACATCCCATTTTAAGAGATCATAGTTGGAGAAAAAACATTCCTTTCTTACTTTGGAAATGCTCCTCTCAGCACTCTCACTGCAATATTCTACCTTATTTTAAAACAATTCTCAACTCAAATTTGAAAGTGTAATAAAGATAGGAATAAATAAATCTATTGAAATAACTTTTTTTCCAGCAGTTGACAGCTTTCTTTGTTGATTCCTTTGGGTCAAATTAATGTTTTATGTATTGGATTAAGATTTTTCAGATTAAATATCAGCATTCAGTAATTTAGATAACAGCCAACAGTTAGCAAAAGCACAGTGATTTATACATCCCAAAGCTGTCCTCCTCAGTTCTGACATCAGTGTTTGATACTAAAGTTCCCATATCCATAGACAACGATTTTTTTCCCCAGTAGGGATGGATCAGTATTTGATTAATTAGTCCCTGTGTTTCTTCCTCCATATTCTGTCCTTCCCGTTTCAATTTTTCTTTCTCAAATATTTTTCCCTTTTCTCTCTTCCTTTGCTTATTATTATTTTTAATCTTTTAATACCCATTTTGATGTTTCCTTTCTCCCTTTTTCTGTCTGTTAACTGTCATCCCCTTACAAAAGACCAGCAGCTTACAGGCGGTAAGCAGTGGAGAAAGGCTACCACACTGCTATCCAAAACTCATCTTAGTGCCTTGGCTGCAGAAGAAAGCTTATTCAGGTAAGACGCACACAGGCAGACTCTTTCTCTGCTTTCCTACCCTGCTGTTCTCTTAGGTGCTCTCAGTTTTCTGTCATCTTCATGAACTACAAGATAAAGCACCATTCAGTATCAATATCAGAATGAGTTTTCTTTCCATAAATCTGGGGAAAACACACTTCATCTCTTGGTACTTTTTCCATCCTGCTTGCTTTTCTGTCTCTGTTGGCATCTATTTTAGCCTTATAGTTTTGAAACCATTCTAAATGTGTTTCAACTCATGTTTCCGTTTTGTTACAGCTTTACAAGACTTTGTCTTTGTGGCTGCTAAGAACCTGAAAATTCTGTTTAAGGAGAATTCCCATTAGTGGTGCAACTATAGTTCTGGTCAGACCAGAATGTCCAGTTGCATAAAGGTTAGTTACCAAGGATTGCTACTTCTGTGCACAGTCACCATTCTGTGATCATTAAATAGCCCCTGAAAGATCAGTTTTAAAAAATGTCTATCCCACCAGTATCCTCCTTGTTTTTACCAAGCAAGGAAGTGCAGTAACTATCCAGAGATTCAGTTAAGAATTTTATAACTATTTTACTTGTGTAAATTATTTGTACAGGGAATTGAAATGCTCTTGCAGTTTAAGCAACATATTTGAGTCAATTTACAGGTATCAGTAAACCCAGTTTCAACACTTCTGTAAAACAAGTAAAGATTACTGATACATCTGGGAAAGACAAACCGATCTGCAGTATCTGTGGCAACGTCAAAGGAGATGTTATTCTTCTGACTCGAATGGATTTGTTTCACTGCAGCTAGTCTAGACGTGGGCTACAGATGTGTAAGCACAGAGAAGATCTAAGAACAACACACTTCAAGGTGAGAGCATTTGATCTAGAGTGCCACAAGGGACTATTTAGAACAAAAATCTGTGTTAAGAGCTTTCAAGTTTCTTGGGCCTTATCCACACTCCTCTCAAGAAATTAAGAGAAGACCAGTCACAATCCAGGAGTCCCAATAGGCATTTTCTGTTCAGCTCGAGTAAGGCCTTGGAAATGACAGCATTCTTGCATCCTCTGACTCTTTAAAAGGCTGCTATTGAATTGAGACACATGAATTCTGCCCATGCTAGTGGTAATTTTGAAAATAACTTTTCTTTCAGCTGATCAAGACCTGGTATCTTAGAAAAAGAGATGTCTGCAGACAGATCGGCATTGTAAGACTAGATCTTACTCTGATGAAATGTAAGGCTTTCCTGGTGATTTATTTTAATTTTTTTTCACCTCAAAATGCCTTTGCTTTTCTCCAGGTCTCTCCACAGCTCTTGATTCACTTCACGTGATAGAGATCTTAATTCTTTTTTCCTTCTGTGAATGCTGGAGTCCAATGTCTCTGCCTTGACAAACCAGTCAGTAAGGAGTGATCTTTTTCAAACAGACATACCATGCCAGTCAGACACCTGAATTTAAGGTGTCCATCTCCTAACAGATATAGGACAACAGGGATTTTTGCTAATTGCTTTGTGATCCTCTGTGTCTACCCCATCCCAACTGTGAAAGTAGTTTTCCCCAAGAATTAATTTATCGAGTAATCCTAAATTATGCATGCTGCCTTTTTTGCATTGGTAGTGAAAAAAAAAAATCAAAGGTTATTTATAACCTCTTATGAAATAAATAAATCATTTCAGTTTGGAAGCTACCTAATGGACAATAATGACCACATACTTCATAGCACAGCTGTAACAGTGCCAGAAGGACTTAGAGCACCTTCTGATAGTCCCTTAGCCTACAGTTCTTCCCTTCACATATCAGACATGACTCACCATGGATGATCTGTAGGTTCAGTTCATCATTTGCCTGTAACTAGAATTTGTATAGCAACAATGTGGAACTTAATTCATACTTTCACAATTCATTATTCTGTTGCTTCTAGACAAAACACTAGATTTGAGAAAGTAACATTTCTTCCTGCACTCAATAAAGAATAGTACTCCTCAGAAGTTCATTCCTTCTTTTTGTCCTCCAGTGAGATTGGCAAAAGCAATATCATAAAGCAGAAAAAATGACTAGGTATCTAGAATTATTCTTCTTTGAAAGTATTTCATAACAGTGGCCTTTCTTCTTACACTCTGTATCTGCATGGAAAAAGGACTTGCAGGTATGATTAAACATCAAGAATTCATGCCTTTTATTCTAAAGCATCAGCTTCAAGGTTTATGCTGATATCTCATTAATTATTTTATGTTTCATGTGGCAAAAAGTATTGTTCCCACAACACAGACCTGAGATGTTATACTTTTTCAAGAGAGAGAGTTAATAGTAAATCTTTCTGTTTCTACATGTCTGAAAAATGTACATTATTAATAATACTT